CAGGTACAGAATCTCCACAAAGATGAATTCCCTGGGACAATTTACTTTCTTCAGAGATGAATTTCGGAGAAGATGGAGGGGCGGCCACTGGTTGGCAACAAGGGCTGCACGCCTGGGTGACAAAACCATGTAGAGAGGAGGGAGGGTGCCTTCAGAGCCGCGGAGGGGCTGCTCTGCACGGGAGCCGCACCCAGGGCACGCGGAGGGTCCTGGAGGGTCGGTTCAGGGGTGGTGGCCACAGGTGTTTGCTTTATAGCATTTAAACTGTGCACTTGTTTTATTTTATTTTATTATTTAATTTTTTATTTTTGAGATGGAATTTCACTCTTGGTACCCAGGCTGGAGTGCAGTGGTGCAATCTTGGCTCACGGCAACCTCCTTCTCCCGTGGTTCAAGCGATTCTCCTGCCTCAGCCTCCTGAATAGCTGGGATTACAGGTGCCTGCCACCATGCCTGGCTAATTTTTATATTTTTAGTAGAGGCCGGGTTTCACCGTTTTGACCAGGCTGGTCTTGAACCCCTGACCTCAGGTGATCCACCCGCCTCGGCCTCCCAAAGTGCTGGGATTTTAGGTGTGAGCCGCTGTGCCCGGCCTGCATTGTTTTTTTTGTTGTTTTCTATGATGCATTATTTTAGCTATTGGGCTATTTTTTAAGGGGACGGAGCCCAGAGAACTTGGTGACTGTTTTGAGCTTGTGGGGGTGAGCTGGATGACTTGTCCCCCAGGCTCTGACATGGGAGCTGGGAGTATGAGCGGATGTTTACCACGACCAGTGCGGTGGGACACACACGTCTCAGCCTGGGAGTTGGCCTCCACCCTGCTGGCAGGGTCACTCGGCCTGGGCCACCCCCTGCTGCAGTAACACCCAGCGAGGCTTCAGAAGCACAATGTCCTTCCAGGTCTTTATTGCCACCAGGCACAAGTTGCCACGACGGGTGGCGACCCTAAGGGGATGAGTGGGGTCCCCCACCAAGGTGAACCCTGATGGCGGCTGTCTGCCCAGGGCCAGATCTCTCCAGGCAGGCGGAGGGCCAGGCCTGGGTCCAGCAGCACCTTGGGTGGCAGGAGGGTCACCAGCTCAGGATGCCAGGGCAGTACTTGTCAATGAGCCCCTGGTAGTAGGGCCGCAGCTTGTCCACGTCCGGCAGGTCTGGGCACTTGGTATAGAGGTCGAACTTGCTGCAGCAGGGAGAGGCGGTGAGCCCCGTGAAGAACCCCCAGGTCCCACCCCCGCCGCTTCACTCCCACAAGCCCCCTCGGCGGGGAGGGCCGTACTTGAACTCCTGTACCCAGGGCAGCATGGCCAGGTCCTGCTGGCTGCACAGCTGCTGGTAGTTGCTGCCCGTGTGCCAGGGGTAGAAGGAGTGGAACCGGATCATGTAGAAAGCCTGTGGGCAAGCCATACCCAGCAGCTGTCTCGGCTGCGGGACAGGGCCTAGTGGCCGGGGCCGGGCTGCCCCTCCCCCCACCTACCTCCGGGGGCAGTGAGAACTTGTTAAACTTCATCACCTGGTACATGTACTCTGTGGGGAGAGGGTGTCACCACCAGGCACCACCTCTGCCCCACCGTCCCCCACTGCCCCAGTCTGGCCTCACCATCGTGGCCCCAGGACATGAGGACCCTGTCGAGCCCACAGTGGGGCTGATACATGCCGAGTTCTGTGCTGCAGTGAGATACCAGGGTGAGGGGGGCTCAGGAGCCGCCCAGGGAGGGGAGCCCAGCCCTGGGCAGCGGGAAGCACCTGTATCGAGGATCCTGGAGGTCAGGGTTGTCCTGGAAGGTGGAGTCGCGGAAAACCACGGAAGCCTGGGGACGGCATCCGACAGGGAAGGTGTCTCCGACGACCGCCCACTGCAAAGGGACAGGCAGTTGTGGGGGTGTGGGGGCCATGGGGGTGCACTGGCCTGCCCCGCAGGTAGTATCCTAGGCCGAGCACCGAGGCCACCAGAGGG